ATGTGTAACAAACATTTGCAGAAGATTACAATGGGTCTTTGAACTGTGCATTGAAGAAAACAGAATCAGTTGGAGGGCGAAGGGTGGCTTTTGCAATATAGGCACTACCTACATGAGACAATGGACAAAAGGACCGGGATTTCGACGAGGGCATTTAAATTTAGAGCCTGTATATACAACGAGCAGCGAATGGATTAACGCATGCATCAAACAGCAGTGCACCACACAGATAGAAAGAGACACAAGGGGCCGCGCGCAGAGAGTCTGACACGCACGCACATACTTTTGCACACACCAAAGTAACGTGAACCATCGGAGAACGAAGAAAAGTTGATTGTTCAATAAGAGGAAAATAATAAATGCCGATATGCATATTTTACCTTCTTTTTTCCCTCATGATTAATTAACGACGGAATTTTGTCGGCTCCTGCAATCTCGAGTATTGAGAAATCGAATCTCCTGAGTTCTTTCTTGTCTCGCACTCAGTTATTGTCACAGATAATGCATGCAATGTTACAGACGCGTACACTCACACCCCAAACTGTATCTTGAAGCAATTTTTATTTTATATCTGCACGCACGCGCGCGTGTGTTTTCGGTGAATTAATTGTTAGAACAACAAACAGTTGAATAAATATGGAAAAACTCCAGTAGATTGTACTATTATACTCTTGCACAAAACGTTGCTCCAAAAAGTCATGAGAGATCACTTTGCGGTGTATATATATGTAGCAGTAGTAGAGTCAAGTCGGGGATACACACAGTATAAGTGCTCGTTTACCAAAAATGTATGTATGTATATATACTGTTTATATACATGTGTATTATGAATAACACGCATATATACAATCGAAGTGAGGTTAGAAAAAGTGTAGAAAAAATATCTCCGTTTTTTTGCGGCTACGAGCGATCACGGCGCTAGACTCACGAGGTTCCCTCGTCGATGTCCTCGTCGCGGTTCGCGTAAGCTACCGAAACGCACACAAATAAAGACACCAGATGCTGAATTTTCCCCTATTGCAGCTTATTGGCAAACTCGCGTTTAAAACTTCACTTTGTACGACTCCTCGATTCTTTCAGCTTATTTTCATAATTCGCATGGCTGTCATTGACAGCGGGCGCGAAGGCATATTGTTGAAAACTGAGATTTAGACTATATGCGATGCGTGCGATATTGTGATGATATCGACGTTCGATGGTTCGTCCAACGAGAGCAGCGCAGCAGCGGGGATTCTGTCGCACGACTGTGCTGCTGCTTGTAAACAACAAGATGAACAGAAATTTGCAACTATGGGTGTTTTCCGCAATCGTCACCAGCAAGTAATTTAAGGTTGCGCTCTACGTTACCGCCAGGTCGGTAAGTCAACTACCTTGAATTAACTGGCGCTCTATTCCGTAATCTGGCCAGTTAAAATAGCAGTAGACGACGTAAAAGTCGAGAAAAAAGTGAAAATTTCATCGCTGTTGACTGTCGTCTGCTGTTTTTGCTGGCCAGATTACGGAACAGAGCGCCACTTAATTCAAGGTAGTTGACTTACCGACCTGACGGTAACGTAGAGCGCAACCTTAAATTACTTGCTGGTGACGATTGCGGAAAACACCCTTATTTATGCGCGTTTGGATGCGAGTAAGCAACGGTTGGTAAGAGAGAGAACGACGATTTTAATTGTTAACATATTGTGTTAACTCATGGTTACCGCCGTATATCATAATAATTATACGCTTTATAAATTTTAATCTACATTCTGCATCGAAATTGTCAAAAAGAGAAAATAAACTTGGTAAGTAAGTATTAACTATTTGCTTTTTTTTTTTCATTAAGATTCGGACCAATGAGTTTCTTTCATATACAATATGAGCTTGGTTTTTAGCTGATTTCATGAAAAACAGAAGAAAATTCGTCACCATTTAAATAACAAGCTATTTGATGTATCCATTCTATAAATATGTATGCCTTGAAAAGTATAAAAAATTACCTACTCCACACAAAGATGATATACCTGCACCTTAATTTAATTAGTCGTCTAGTGTCTACCAGTACTGAAATATAAAAAAAAAAAATTTTAAAAATAAATAAATAAAAAAATGGCTCNCGTCACCATTTAAATAACAAGCTATTTGATGTATCCATTCTATAAATATGTACGCCTTGAAAAGTATAAAAAATTACCTACTCCACACAAAGATGATATACCTGCACCTTAATTTAATTAGTCGTCTAGTGTCTACCAGTACTGAAATATAAAAAAAAAAAATTTTAAAAATAAATAAATAAATAAAAAAATGGCTCTCGCAATCAGCTAATTGAATTAAAACTTATGTAATTGACAATAATTTAAATTTTGTCGATTCACTCATAAAATCAATAATAATACACATATATCGGCTTATGTCCCGAGTAGCGGTCATGTGATAATAACTCTGTGCGGGAAATTTTTTTATTTTGATGGTTGAGATGATTAACGTACGTATTTTCGATGAGCGGAAAGTAAAACAGAATTCATATTTTAATGGTCAATATTTGTTTAATTTATTTATTTATTTGTTTCATGCACACGAATTTTTATTGGAAAAAAATTGACCATAAAAAAATTTATTTTTTTTGCTTTCCATTAATAAAAAATGGATAAAATAACCATTAAAATAATCAAAAAATTATAATGGTAAGTTTTGAAGGCGTTTTAGAGTGTGTGCACTAAACTGCATAATGACCTTATAGGGTATTCCTCTAATTCTAGCTGTAAATAAATTAATAAAGTTTTTTTCAATCAACATTGTCGTGACAACTATAAACTACGCCATCAAAATTTTATACTGCACTTCTTCTCAAAAATTGTATTTCACAATAAAATATATTGCGCAACCCATTGATGCATATTCAGATTCTGCCTTATGATGAACCCTACGTGTGTACAGCCATACTTTATCAAAATGCATTTTTTTATCAAAAAAAAAAAAAAAAAAAAAATCAAGTATACAGTTACCAGCTGATTGATTAAGCGTTGGACTTTGGACTTTCGAGGGAAAAGAGCCAGTGCAGCTGCAAACAATTTTGCCGCATATTTATATAAATATATGTTCTTCTGGTGCTACTTCAGTTGGAACTTGGCTCTTGAGTACTTCACATCTCCTCGCAGCTTCGCAAAACATATACAGGATCTCATCGTTTTATTCGCTTATTTTTTGGTAAAAAATTTGGGCCTCAGCAAGTGATCATGCCACTTTGTAAGTAATTACAATTTCACTTTTTTTTTCTTCTAATCTACATTGAAAATTGAATTGCTATTGTGTGAAGGAATTGAAACATACATTTAGGTACTTAGTGATGTTAAATAAATCTGGAAACGAGAACTATTATATCAATAGTTTTTATTGTAATAATCAATGTTATTTATATTTCCGTCAACTTAAATTAAAAACAGTTTAGACGTAATTCAGAATTTTGTTTTTGAAGATGTGAGACATCCGAAAAAGCGCTTTTTTATTTTTTTTTTAATCCAAACCATTCGGGTGCAATACCAGCTTATCTACAAGTACGGAAAAATCGGCAGGCGATTCAATTGAAATTAATGAGCATCAGTGTTTATTTCATTTGTTTCCAAAAGCAAAATTTTGATCTAATACAGGATTGAAGTATAATTTATAGTGTGTGATTGCACAATATTATAGGTAAAGTGGAAAAAGATGCTTAGTTGATTTCGAGATTTAAAAAAGTTATGAATCTTGGTTTGTATTAAAAATTTACTCTATTCGGGTGGTTGAATTTAAAAAACAAACTTTTATTTCATATAAAGACTATTTAAATAGTGTTTTAAGATGCTCTGAAGGGATGAAAAAAAGTCTTTGAACGCCAATTGTTCAAGTGACGAATGTAAATGGTATACTTATTCAGCGTAAGGGTCAAACCAAAAACCACCGACTCGGCACAATATATTATATTCATTGGTAATATTGCACAACGTAAAAATTGACGTTATTTAATCCCTTCAATTTCCGATTACCTACAAATAAAACGATTTCAATAAAAAGTCACGATCGACCGTCAGTCAGGAAGTAACGGAACCGTATATATATATACGTCCCGATGCACGTAGTTTCGCAGTGACCCATCCCAGTCTGATGAATCTAAAAATACAAATAAAATTTGTAACCGGCGTAAACAAAAATTTCATAAACGCAATCATTGCTGCAGTCTTTCTAACAAGTATCACATTTCAGGTATGCTTGTGCAAAATATTCAACATGAGCATATATGAAAGGAAATCCAAACAATAATTATTGGTGCACTTATTTTATTAAGCAGCTTGCGTACCATGTAAGATACTCGTGAGTTGTTATTTCATGGTCAGGGCACTCATGGTAAAAATAACAAGGAGCAAGTTATATTTTAATTCATGACTAATGTTTTGAGCATAAATATGTTTAACGATAACCTTTCCCGAAATGATTAACTTTGACCTGTGGAACTTTCCCTTATTTTTAATGCAGTAACTCTGATAAAGGTGGTATCGTGCATGTGATGTAAATTAAATTTATTGTTGTCTTTGGGGAATGTCGTAAAGTATTGCGTGTCGACACTGAGTCTCGTATCATTTATTTCATTTCAACTGTGTTTTCTGTCAAATTATTGACGAAACCAAATGAATCAAATAAGCTCTACTTTGTAAATACGATGTATGGGCCTTAAAACAATTGTAATTTAAAAATAACTAAACAAATAATGTGTATACATATATACGTACAATACTGCACATACATTGTAACAAAAGTTTGTTAATTTAGCACACGTCTAAGAGACAGATTACATATTTATATCAATAATTTGTGATTATTTTAATTCATGTTTGGAATTTTTTAAAGTTTATTTAAAATTCTACAATATTTTTAACATTTATACCATGAGTTAAAAATTAAATTTTTTTACTCAAAACTTATGGTGTGTATTGATTNATTTCGTCGAATAAATAAATTTTGGTGCAAAAAAATTGTCTTACTCGTAGTTACAGTGGTTATAATTGTTTTAGTAGCACTGAAAACCGAAGACAAGTTGGAGTACCATTTCTATCCGGTCAGCGGAAGGCAAATTCAATTTCGTGTCCAAGCGGCTCATGATGCCCACATTGCCTTGACCTCTGCCCCTTCCGAGACTGATAATATGCTAGAGGTTTGTTGGAGAAATAAAAAAATAAAATAAATAAACATGTTTCTTTTAAAACGATTATCATTGGATCACTGGAAATTCCAGATCTTCATTGGGGGTTGGCAGAACACGAAATCCGTCATCCGCAAGAATAGAACGAAACCTGAAGTAGCAGAAGTCGAAACTGTAGGCATTTTAGATGCCAATAAGTTGCTGGGCTTTTGGATAAGGTTTGGACTGTTTATTATTTTGTTTTGTTCGTTTTCAAATAAACTCGTATCTTTATATCGTCCATTGATATTCTAGGTGGAACGATAACATAGTCACTGTTGGCAAAGAGAACGAACCCGAGCCTCTACTCGTGTATGAAAATATAGAGCCACTTGAGATTACCCACTTTGGGGTTTGTACCGGCTGGGGTGCCAGTGGCGAATGGCTGATTGAAGGTAATTATTTTTTTCCAATTTTTAATGTACTTTCATTTATTTTTTAATTAGAATTCCCCCAATGCCCCAAGTAACCCATGATTGATGTCACGTAATTTTGATCTTGGTTTCGGAGTACATGTGTCAAAAAAGAATTTTAATTCTCCAGAAAGGTGCATTATTTATGGTGATGAGGGTGCACAAGACGAGGCACAAGCCGAGGATATTTCAGAATGTATTCCACGTAAGGAAGGCAATGTCTATTAGCGTGCAGTTTTAGAGTTGATTTTTTTTTTTTTTTTTTTTTTTTTTTTTTTTTTTTTTTTTTTAAATGATCGATTCTATCCCTGAACTGTAAAATTCCAGGTGGAACGATAACTTAGTCACTGTTGGTAAGGAGAATGAATCCAAGCCATTCCTCAGCTACAATAATCCAGATCCATTGGAAATCACCCACGTCGGCATTTGCACCAGCTGGGGTGCTACTGGCCAATGGCTGATTGATGGTTATTTAATCTAATTTTTTTTATTTAAATTAAAATTAGAAATCACTTGTTCCCCTAAAAAGTGTGTTGAATGTTTATTAATTTCACACATTTTTGATCATGGTTTCGGAGTATATGTTTTATGAAAGAATTATTCAATCATTCATTTTTTTATAATATAGGAAAAATGAAAAAATAAAAAATCAATAATAGTTCAAAAATAATACGCATAGATTTATAAATACGTGGAAGATGCTATACATTCTAATGAAATGTAATAAAAACAAGCGAACCAATTTACGCAAAAAATTAAGTCTTGCATCTAAGGCAGGACCAATCCACATAAAGCCAAAGAAATATGAGTTATTTAAACAATAGTATTATATTTTGGGACCATAGTTATAATTCAATACTATAATAATTCAAATTTTTTTAGTAAATATGAAATAAAAAAAATAAAAATTACTGGCTACAATATGATTTTTCAAGAAGGTTTTTAAACGATTAAAATATTTACACTGTTCAAAGTGTAAAGACTGCAAAATAGAGGAAAAATAACAAAAGATGTTGATTTACATAAACTTAACTATATCGTAAAATTTATAATAAAATGTATAGTACACCAGAATTAGTGTTGAACCCAGAGCTATTTACAAAAATCAGTTTATTCGTATTACGGTTACATAAATTGATTAAAAAATTTAATTACGTCCAGAGATAAATACACACGTGCACCATGTAATTAACTATAGAATCACTGTTAATTTTTTTTTTTCTTTTCTACCCAATTTCTGTATACACCACAACCTCCGACAGTTGTAACATTTTTTCTTTGCCAATTTTTTGTTTTTTTTTTTCCTCGGATTACATTATCACAGCTGCACTTCTTCGCAAATTTGCGTTTGTAAGTATGTCTTAAATTTCTGATGCTTACATTGCAATTGGCACTTGTTTCTCTCAATTAGTATACAAAATTCCTGTGTTCACCCCACACCTGTTCTCATTTAAAAATTATCAGTGACACATTACCCCCTACCACCCCATACGCACAACTGCATCGTCATTCGAGATATTTATGATAATATACAAATGACAATTTTCAAAATTAACCATTTTAATGTTATGAAATTAACTTTGCGTAATTTCAGTCAATACTTTTACCTGGGTCGACGCAAAAAACGGAGTGATACCACCTGGTGCTGTGGTGGCTGGTGAGGGTAGCGAGACTTTGTATGTCGGCAGAGCCCAACACGAAGGCGCGCTTTTGCCTGGAAAAGTCAGCTCTGAGCACGGCGTGTGTTACGTACCTTGGCATGGAAAGGAGATCTCGAAGAAAGAGTATCAGGTGTGTATATGTACGGGGGTGATTGATGTTGTATTGAGAACAAAAAAAATCAACGGTATGCTGATCTAATTCAATGATCAATCAATTGTAAAAAAAATTTTGTTTTGTTTCGCTAAGAAGTAAGTACCTACGTTTAATACCATAGATGGAAGAACTGAAAATACGTAGCTGTCGACAAATTACAGTTGTTTCTTTCATTATTACTGGATGTTCTTACGCACAAAGGTCATTTCAAAATGATCTACACTCGTATAGGTGAGATATTTGATAGTTGTTTACGCAACATGTCTTTGGAAAGACAAGTTTTATCACATGAGTAGAGATAAACGCGCACATTATGTATATCGTTTATACAAGTTGGGTTTTTATTGTATTTTTTAATGCATATTTATTTCAAATTTGTCGGGTCAAATCCCAACAAACTCATAAATTTTCCCGTATAGTGACGCAGGTATGACTTTAAAAGATTTTACTCGATATATAGATCCAAAACATAAAAATTACACCAGCAATAAATAATTTTCAATGATAGCAAATGTATATGTCACGTTCGACAAGTAAAATGTTAAGAATCGCAAAGACAAAACTGTACGGTTTTCAGGTGCTGTGCGGCTTTGACGGAAAGTGGGTAAAAGTAGTGGGTTCCGACCTTCCACCAAACGCCGTCCAAGGTGGTGTGAGCGAAGATGGCGAACCCCTTTACATTGGCCGCATCACTCACATGGGTACCAAAATCCCCGGGAAAGTGCATCCATCGCACGAGCGCCTTTACATCCCTTACGATGGTGTCGAAATTGCCTTTGAAGAATTCGAAATCCTCGTTGATTAGGCTTATTATATTGCCACTGTAACGCTTTAACTGTGGAAGCGCACAACGATTTACCGCACAAAAAATGTAGTGCTTATAATAATAATAATATAAAGTCATTTTAAATATCCACAGAGCACAGTAGCATTTATTTTGGTTTTTTTTTTTTGCTCCAATTACTTTATGTAAAGCTTGTGTTTATATGATTTTATCTGTCAACGAAATAATGTGCAATTCGTCAAATTTAGCCTTTTCTTGACCATCGAATTGTATTTTTCACTTTGTTCTTGAAACTTGTACATCACAATAAATGTATTGCATCTATGTATCTTTTTTATTTCCACTGATGTTGGATCCATCAAGTATACGTATAGCCACACAACGCAACTCCATAAATATTGTCAAAAAATTAAAATTAAATGGTAAGATTAAAGGTAGAATGATTGTAATGAAAAAAATTTTTAAGTCACGTCAAGTAAATCAATAGCTTTCAATTTAAATTAACGGTGTAGTATACCGTAAAGTAATGATAATGTGGCGAAATAATAGTTTTTGTACATAGAAGCGCACGTCCTCGGAATAAGCGCTGGGCTCAAGGAACTCCTTGTGTTTGCCCTGGTTGGATGGGTTCCATGTGCAAATACTATTTTTTTTTTCAAAGGAAAAGAAAAGAAAAAAATACACAATAAGCCCCAAGAGTGAAGAATTTAATAATTATGCTCATGCAGATTTTGTGGGATAAGAATCACCGATTTCGCATTTTTCAAGAATTTTTTTTCCAAGAGTCATCTTTACACCAGAGTGAGTAAGAAGATTTTTTGTTCGTTATTCAGTGCACACGTTGAGAGAAGTAGGTCGAGGTTGCGAGGAGAATTTGAAAATCCAAAATACCCTATAACCTAATCTCTTTAACCCAAAGCCTTTAATCAAAAAACTTTGTAACACTAGAGCCTTCAATCCCTAGAACACAGCAACACAAGAGCCTGCATGAAACAACGCGACAAAAATGGAAGATTTATTTGCACAAATAAAAAAATTAACACAATACATTTGAACTGCCATCCAAATAATCAATTGGTTTCGATGGAATTTTCTACCACTAAAGATCGCCACTGGCCAATGGCTGAATGATGGTGATTATATTTTTATATTTTTACAATTTTCATCGACGTTTATTTTTTCTCATTAAAATTAAAGGCAGAAATCACAGGATTGTAATGAAACAAATTAATTTTTTAATTGCATACTTTTATTTATCACATCAATTGTAAGAGTCAACAAAGGACTGGATTATCTGAACGAGCAGTTATCTGTGGCAAAAAATGACCAAAACATGCCTTGAAATTAAATTTATTGTAATGTAATAACTGCTTGTTTTGATGATTAAGTAAGTTCTTTGTTTATACTCCTGCAATTGATGTGATAATTAAAAACAAAATAATACACATAGTACTGCCTTTCCAAATCAATGAAAAATAAAATTTCTCCAAGTTAGCGCTCTCGTCAATCTGAATCTGCTCTACATATAGTTGTTTGAAATCGATTGTCAAAGTGCATGCCACGTTGCTCTTTTGGTTTTACTGCGTTACATCGTAGTCAGGCCAGTAGGTCAGACTCGTAAAATGATGCATTTTCATGAGTTGCCTTAAAAAGCATTGCTGCCTAAAAACGTTTTCGAAACTTTTGCACAAAATTGTCCTGCGAATCCCAAAATACCAGACAAAACTCCTTTGACGAAACGTGTGCCGGAAGACTCTGATACAACAAGTAAATATCCCAACAGTGGCGGGAGACGTACACAAGTTAACACCTGCTCCAAACAATCCAGAGCCTCTACTTATACTCTCAAACGTCTCCTTTTTTATTTTCTTTCCTACCCTCGGTATGCTTCGATTTTTTTTTTTTTTCGCGTCGCAAGCGAATATCGATCCAAAGGGGCAACAAAACGAAAAAAAAAAAGGAAAAGCACGAACATCTTCACTCGATGTTGGTGACCTCATTACGACTGCCAAATGTACCAGACGCGTCGCTTCAACGTGTAGTGGTGTTGGATAATCAAGTAAACGCGTCATCGGACATCCTGTGCTCGTTACTCCAATCAACGCTACTCCGCTGAACTTAACATGCACTTGGGCGCGCGGCACCTTGAGAAATCGCGTTCCCGCAATGAAACCCCTTCTTTTTTTTACCTCCGATTAGCTTCTCGCAGCTACACTCCTTTGAAAATATCATATTCCTTATTCCACGATTGCGTTTGTGCGTATATTTTTCATTTCTTATATGTTTGCATTGCAATTGGCACACGCTTTTCCCTCAAAGAGTTTACAAAATTGCTCTGCTCTTAACCCCCGCGCCTATTTTTATTTATGTATTACCTGTGAAACACTACCACCTACTGCAATCGTGTTTGAGATATTTGTGGTATCATGCGAAAATCTAAATAAACACGGTGGTGCATACCGCCAGGGCAAGCACTAGGCTCGAGTAGGGACCCTTTTTGCTTGGCCTGGATGGATCACCGTAGGTATGAACCTCATTTTTTTTCTTCCTAGGGTGCACTAAAAGTTTAAAGGTAGAAAAAAAAACATATTTCCAAAGCTGGAAAATTGACTCTGGCTGCGTAATTTCAGTCAATACTTTTACCTGGGTCAACGCAACAAATGGAATGATACCACATGGTGCCATGGTTGCTGGTGAGGGTTGTGAGACTTGGTTCATTGGCACAGCCCATCACGAAGGCGCGCTTTTGCCTGGAAAAGTTCACCCTACCAATGGCATATGTTACGTGCCTTGGTGTGGAAAGGAGATACCAAAGAGAGAGTATCAGGTATGTACGTGTGTGGTTTATTGATGACCTAAGTTAAGAACAAAAACAATGGTAATTCAATAATTAAAAATCTGTAAAAAAAAACAAATGTATTGTCCATTTTTGATGAGTAAAATGTTAAATTAAAAAAAAAACAAATTATGGTTTTAAGGTGCTGAGCAGCTTCAACGGGACCTGGATCAAAGTAGCGGGCTGCAACCTTCCACAAAACGCCGTCCAGGGAGGTATGACCGCGAATGGCCAACCCCTTTTCATTGGCCGCATTGAACACGTGGGTAGTAAAATCCCCGGAAAAGTGGATCCATCGAACCAACGCCTGTACGTTCCCTGCTGTGGTGTCGAAATTCCTTACGACGAGTTCGAAATCCTCGTTAATTAAGCAAAAATAAATTAAGTGTGGAAGCGCACCACTACCGCAGATTTGAAATATCCACAGAGCAGAGTAGGATTTATTTTGGTTTTTTTGCTCCAATTACTTTGTTAGAGGCTCTTTTTTTACCTGATTTTATCTGCAAATAAATATACTTTACAATTTGTCGTATTTAGTATTTCCTTGACAACTGAACGACACCATCAAATTGTATTTTTCACTTCGTTTCGAAACTTGTATATCACAATAAAAAATATTGCATCTTCTCATTTTTCACTTATGTTGTACCCAGCAAACGTCGCAACTCCATAAATATATTCTGTCGAAAAATGTAATTCAACTGATTGGGCATTTTTTTGGACCTTTTTTAGCGAACCAGAGAGTATATTGTAGTGACCAGTGGTGGTAGTGTCCGGGCCATTGGCCAATAAGCCATTATATAGACACACACCACTAGAGCCACTATACTATCGCACACGTATTTATATACACATGTTATACATACCTACGTGCCTTTCTGGAGAGGCGTCGAGCTGGCGGGGCACCGCTACTAGCTCTGCAACTCGGTAGTGTACGGTATATACCCACGGCAATTCAGTTGTAACGTGGCTCTCAAGCAACGCACTTCTTGTCTAAAAAATATTCACTCGTCGTTTTTTGTGGCTCGTTGTCCGGTGTAACACCAGAACTTCAACTCTCATCGAGTGACCATGGCCATTCGTAAGTTATCGTAAAATCGTAACTATTTTGTTTTCTTCTTTATTCTCGAATTTAAATGTACATTTTATATATTATTATTGCAAGAGCGGATGGGAAACAAAATCCATTTCTACGTTATTAATAACGTTTAATATATCCGATTAACGAGAAAACGATGCCGGTTCGAACCTGTGCAAGAATATTTTTACTTTTCTATTGTTATTATCGATATTTTTTGCTGTATGTCGTGGCTGCAGATGTGATATGTGTACTCAGATTTTTTGTTTTTTAACATAGTTAAAACATAATAAGCAATTTTGTTTTCGTTTTTTTACAATGTAGTACACGAAGGGGCGCTGTTACGTTTTCTTATTCCAAACAGTTATATACCAAAAGTAAAATATTATTGTGCAATCTGTTTGACGATTTTTCTACATCGGTTCGCTTATATTATGTTTTTATGGCTTAGTTTGACGTACATCAGTTTAACAAAAGGCAATGCGTACACGTAGGCATAAATTACACACACGTATAATATATCTTGCGACCTACACCTCAGCTTTGGCTTCGTAGTTCGAATTCGATAATTCAACGGGCCACCCATAAGTACCAGATTTTTGATTTACGAGATTTTAACAAAATAAAAAAAGTCTTTGAACGCCAATTGTTCAAGTGACGAATGTAAATGGTATACTTATTCAGCGTAAGGGTCAAACCAAAAACCACCGACTCTGCACAATATATTATATTCATTGGTAATATTGCACAACGTAAAAATTAACGTTATTTAATCCCTTCAACTTCCGATTACCTACAAATAAAACGATTTCAATAAAAAGTCACGATCGACCGTCAGTCAGGAAGTAACGGAACCGTATATATATATACGTTCCGATGCACGTAGTTTCGCAGTGACCCATCCCAGTCTGATGAATCTAAAAATACAAATAAAATTTTTAACCGGCGAAAACAAAAATTTCATGGGCGCACCCATCGCTCGCTATTATTAAAAATCTTCTGCCACGTCTGTTTTGTACATTATTATACTTAAACACACGTGTTCAAGTGAGATGAATCATCGTCGTTACATACCGCGTCGCGACTCGCGAGTTATTTATTGCGCAACTCGAATAGTCTATTACACATGCGGCATTTTTGCGGTCGAAGGGAAGGAGTCCAGAATGAGGAGGAAGGAAAAACATTAGCCTACTTACTTGTGAATAACGGCTAGGCACGTCGATGATAACAGATAATTCATGTACTTGTAGAATCTCGCGTGAGTTTACGCACGTTCGAGCACACGCATGACGTGGAGGCGTACACGAGAGGGGACGTGGTCTTTTTCTCGGGATAGAGGGGAAAAGTAGGTATTTTTGGACACCTTGAGATTTTTTTCTTCACTTTTTATTTCACGTTAGCCGTTCCTTTTACTTCTGCAACGGAATGATGCATGTTTTCGCGGCTGGGCGTTGTAATTATTGACGACACGAGGTGCCAATTGATCGACAAACGACCGCAAGGACGAGACAACTTTGTTGACCTCAAAAACCGCTCAAAGAGACATTGTGTCGTATGGGATACTTTACAACTGCAGGGGTATATACATAATATATTGTCGACTCGCAAACGAAAAGGATCGATAGCGGGCCGCTGAATTTTTCAACTCCTTGAGAATACCGATTTAACGCTCGGAGCAAAGTGTTACTTATATGAGGATGATAAAGAAAAACAATTGAAGTTTTTAAAAGACATGAAAAAAAAAAAAAAAAAAAAAAAAAACGCAAGTGGGGAAAGAAAGGCGCACAGTCCAAACGGATGTTCGGTCTGTCGCGGACAACGTCGTTCTGTACACGTTTTGCGTCTACGTGTATTAACATCGTCCTCATCGTGTTACTTGTACCATGACTTACGTCTTTGTTGAAAAAGTACATCGCATTTGTAAAGATAATTTACTCGGACACGGGTCTTTGAATTACATGTGGAAAACTAGATTGTCCACACCATATAATACATAATAATCTTTCCACGGGTATAGGTGTATAAGCAGTGATATATATGATACCCGAAATCGATTGTAACTTGTACAGGTGTATGTGTGCTGGCTCGAACTCTCCAACGCGACCGCACGTCAAGTACAAAATCTAAATTATAATTATCCGAATAATGAGCATTCCAGGGTCGGGTGCCTAAAAAAAACGGTCACAGGGGCGCGGTTGAAAGTGTTTCGGGCGAGCAACGGTGACCTTTTTTCCAAAAAGATTATCTATAGCACCTACGTGGCTTTCCCTCATTTCCAAAGTAGTCAAGCTTTCTCTAATAAGCACAACACATTAGCTCCCTACAATGCGTATGATCTAGATTTTTTGTTGTCATTAGTTAGAAAATCGATTATATCGCGTGTCATAAGTACGCCTGTGGTGGGAAAATTTTTCTTCGAATCTGGCTTTTGTCCGATACGGCTTTCACTTGTTTTTTTCACTCGGGCGGTAATATCTGATTCCTCGCGGTTTCTCGTTATCTAAAAGAAAAAGAAAAAGAAAAAAAAGTCGTTAATATATCAATTTTAGACAAAGGCTTTGAAATAATCAATGCGCGCTACCGACTTGGAGAAAACGTATTTTCAATATCCCCAAAAAAAAACGAGAAAATTTTGTTAAACATCATTTGTACAGATATTCGACAAATGTTTGAAAAACACATGCCTAAATACCAAGTGGTTTTTTTTGTTTTGTTATTTTTTTTTTTTTTTTCCTTTCTTCCCAAGGTAACGAGACAAATAAAGGGTGCTTGACAAGCCAATTTCTCCTGCATGAAAAAAATGTGGAAACCAAACCCTCGAGCGAGTTAACGTACCAAGCCGCGTGCAGTCGAAAATCGTCCGATCCCTCGAAGTTTATCGGTACGTATATATGCACACATGTATTAATCGTTCGAAAATTTGAGACAAGTGTATCAGTATGTTAACACTGCGATTAGAAGCGATGATAATGCTTCACTTGAAGAATTCGCTGAGGCTTATTTACGCGTATAACCGTGTACAATTATAAAGTCATTTGGTGCTTCGCGCGATAAATTTTTCGAAATTTTCCATACTCGATTAGCTTGAAAAATACGATGCTATGTATCCAACTGTTCGAAAACTTTTAATGAAATTCCACGTGCTCGTTAATTAAGCTTTCAGAGTGGAAACACGCTGGTTACAAAAAAAAAAAAACACTGAATCGGTACACTCTCGTATTTTTTGTATCTTTGCCCCGATCAATATAATCAACATAATTTACAAATTAAGAAATTCTCGTGTAAGCTTAATGAGGCAGCGTTTACACACACATAAAGTTGTAATTTCAAAAGAGGAAATTAAATAATACCTTGTACCTATGTACATATATAAATACGTACTGCATCAGCTCATTCAGCTTACACATACAAAGTGTTAAAGGCGAAAATTTGATGTGGATCGAGGTCGAGGTAGATTTTCATCGTAGCTGTACAATACGGGTGATGTGGTCGAAGGACGCTTGGGAGCGCGCGTCGCACGTATGTATAGGTACTCGTGTGCAGTATATTTGTTACAATTCGCCCGTTCCTCCTTCATCTTGTATTATTCTCCATCTCTGATGTCGGTGCATTCAGTTACAGCCACAATGTATAGGTATGCATGTAAGGATGAAAATTACGCCTGTAAAGTAGAGCTACATTGAGCCGTTGCGTAACAGGTATAGGAATGGAAGTGAACGTAATGAGTATAATGAGCCAAAGACGTGCAGGCTCGAATCACCATGATTGAATGCTCGGTAACGTATAGTACTTGTACGTTGTACCGTGGTTGTATGGAAGAAAAGTACCAAAGCTTTTTTTTTGGGGGGGGGGGGGGTTTGACTCTCGAGAATTTTATGGGTCAAATTTTCGTGCCACAGGATTCTTTTTTTTTTTTCGGTACAGTGATACAATATGATTGTCTCGAAATCGACGTTTGTAGGGAAAAATTTGAGGCAGCAGAGATTTAATGTTTTAAATGAAATTTCGTCGAATAAATAAATTTTGGTGCAAAAAAATTGTCTTACTCGTAGTTACAGTGGTTATAATTGTTTTAGTAGCACTGAAAACCGAAGACAAGTTGGAGTACCATTTCTATCCGGTCAGCGGAAGGCAAATTCAATTTCGTGTCCAAGCGGCTCATGATGCCCACATTGCCTTGACCTCTGCCCCTTCCGAGACTGATAATATGCTAGAGGTTTGTTGGAGAAATAAAAAAATAAAATAAATAAACATGTTTCTTTTAAAACGATTATCATTGGATCACTGGAAATTCCAGATCTTCATTGGGGGTTGGCAGAACACGAAATCCGTCATCCGCAAGAATAGAACGAAACCTGAAGTAGCAGAAGTCGAAACTGTAGGCATTTTAGATGCCAATAAGTTGCTGGGCTTTTGGATAAGGTTTGGACTGTTTATTATTTTGTTTTGTTCGTTTTCAAATAAACTCGTATCTTTATATCGTCCATTGATATTCTAGGTGGAACGATAACATAGTCACTGTTGGCAAAGAGAACGAACCCGAGCCTCTACTCGTGTATGAAAATATAGAGCCACTTGAGATTACCCACTTTGGGGTTTGTACCGGCTGGGGTGCCAGTGGCGAATGGCTGATTGAAGGTAATTATTTTTTTCCAATTTTTAATGTACTTTCATTTATTTTTTAATTAGAATTCCCCCAATGCCCCAAGTAACCCATGATTGATGTCACGTAATTTTGATCTTGGTTTCGGAGTACATGTGTCAAAAAAGAATTTTAATTCTCCAGAAAGGTGCATTATTTATGGTGATGAGGGTGCACAAGACGAGGCACAAGCCGAGGATATTTCAGAATGTATTCCACGTAAGGAAGGCAATGTCTATTAGCGTGCAGTTTTAGAGTTGATTTTTTTTTTTTTTTTTTTTTCTGTAGACATAGTGCTGAAGTATGTGCCACTCGCTTGAATTATAATTATTATTTGAATCACAAATGTTTACTTTAAATTTTTATCTGTGACTAATTTAACTATACACAATTATGATGATCGCATCGTAAAATCTGCAGCACGTCTTATGTAGTTTATGCATATAGTTGTTTGAAATCGATTGTCAAAGTGCATGCCACGCTGCTCTTTTGGTTTTACTACGTTACATCGTAGTCAGGCCAGTAGGTCAGACTCGTAAAATGATGCATTTTCATGAGTTGCCTTAAAAAGCATTGCTGCCTAAAAACGTTTTCGAAACTTTTGCACAAAATTGTCCTGCGAATCCCAAAATACCAGACAAAACTCCTTTGACGAAACGTGTGCCGGAAGACTCTGATACAACAAGTAAATATCCCAACAGTGGCGGGAGACGTACACAAGTTAACACCTGCTCCAAACAATCCAGAGCCTCTACTTATACTCTCAAACGTCTCCTTTTTTATTTTCTTTCCTACCCTCGGTATGCTTCGATTTTTTTTTTTTTTCGCGTCGCAAGCGAATATCGATCCAAAGGGGCAACAAAACGAAAAAAAAAAAGGAAAAGCACGAACATCTTCACTCGATGTTGGTGACCTCATTACGACTGCCAAATGTACCAGACGCGTCGCTTCAACGTGTAGTGGTGTTGGATAATCAAGTAAACGCGTCATCGGACATCCTGTGCTCGTTACTCCAATCAACGCTACTCCGCTGAACTTAACATGCACTTGGGCGCGCGGCACCTTGAGAAATCGCGTTCCCGCAATGAAACCCCTTCTTTTTTTTACCTCCGATTAGCTTCTCGCAGCTACACTCCTTTGAAAATATCATATTCCTTATTCCACGATTGCGTTTGTGCGTATATTTTTCATTTCTTATATGTTTGCATTGCAATTGGCACACGCTTTTCCCTCAAAGAGTTTACAAAATTGCTCTGCTCTTAACCCCCGCGCCTATTTTTATTTATGTATTACCTGTGAAACACTACCCCCCACTGCAATCGTGTTTGAGATATTTGTGGTATCATGCGAAAGATTATCATGTAAATTAATCGTTTGATTGTAATACTTTTATTGCATGATTTCAGTTTCAAATTATTCCTGGGTCGAAGCAACGTACGGAGTAGTGCCACCCGGTGCTATGGTCGCCGGCGAAGATGGTGAGCCGTTATACGTTGGTAGAGCCCATCACGAAGGCGCGCTTTTGCCTGGAAAGGTGAAGCCGACGCACGCAGTCTGTTACGTACCTTTTGACGGTCAGGAGATTCCTAAACAGGAGTACGAAGTATGTACATATTATTTTTGGAAAATGTAATGAAAATGCTAATTTCAAAAGTGTGTGTTCATAAAAAAAGTGTTTTTTTTTTTTTTTTTTAATATTTTTGTCCAAATAACATTCGTTTGAAATTACATTTGTCAAGAAACCTTTAAAAATCGCTAGAAATAATTCAAATTTCTTCCGTTTATGAGACAACCTTACGCGCATAGTAAAGATTTCAAGAATTTATAATAATTAATAAGAGAACCAAATGAATGCATGAAATGGAAAAAATTAACTTGTACTTGTGTCTGGGAACTACTTGCACAAAGGAAGTGCAGAATAAATAAATCTTGTTCTTGAGAAAGAAAAGAATGAAAATTACGCCTAAGACAAGCGATTGCGTATTATAAGTGAAAATAAATGTTAATACATCCCTGATGAGAAAAATGTTAAAAGTTTAAGAAACAAAAAATGGTTTTCAGATACTGTGCAACTGCAACGGGACCTGGACGTCGGTATCAGGCAGCGACATTCCACCAAACGCAATTCTAGGAGGTACGAGCGAGTCGGGCGAACCACTTTACATTGGCCGTGTTGATCACGAGAACACCAAAACCCCCGGAAAAGTACATCCATCGCACGAATGCCTCTTCATTCCCTATGGCGGTGAAGAACTTCGCTTTCAAGATTACGAGATCCTCGTCGAGTAGGCTACTAACGACTCTAGCTACGATGAATATAACGTCAACGTACCTAATAAGTGTAAAAGCGCACAATGATTAATTAATTTTTTTTATTTATTTATAGTATATTCATCGCACAACGAGATCTTAGGTCTTTGCAGAGTAGAGGGGCATTTATTTTTATTTTTATCACCTCAAGTGCTTCATAAGTAGAGTACATCAGAATATACAATAGTGTATACTATGATTATAATGCAAGCTAAATATTTCAACAGGAGAAATGTCAATTTTTTTTCGGTAATACTAATTTATTCATGAATATTACTGGGCAATTTTAAGATGAAATAATACATCAGTCGTACATAATTAGACTAGCCACACACGATTTCATGCAATTTTTTTTTTTTTTTATTACTGTTTTTAAAAAAAAGTTAAACATACGGGAATCATAATGAAGTAATATTTCGCATAGGAGGTGCTTTTTTTTGTAATTTCATTTTGATTCGCTATACCTCTGTAAAACAAATTTATATTCATTGTACGCCACAGTACCTTTTTTTATTAGATAATAATAAAAGGTTAAGTGTCACATGAAACTTCTGTTATTTATAGAAGTTTGAATTTTACGAATTAAATGTACCACGTATGAAAGGTGTTATCAAACGAAATTATAGACAATCAGCACCTAATAATGTTTTATTAAGAATGTTTTATTTAGACAGTATGCATGTGGGAAAAAGGAGGTGAGAGCTCAAGCGCGTGCGTTCGCGTTGCCGTGTCGTACAGGAGAGACCAAAAATGGCTCCTCGCCAGTTAAAGTCACGGGCGTGCAAGATACTCCACTCACTGCTGGACTGGACGGACTCGACGGGGGCACCGCTCTGTGGCTAAAAGTCCTGCCGCGGGATGAGGCGCTGCTTGCGCCTGGTACTCCTGGTACTCCTGGTAGTCCTGGTACACGTCTTACCGGCTGGGCTGACTTGACACGCCACATCTACCCTCTTCCTAGTGCCGTTGGTACCAGACAAACGGAAAGATGAACGAATTGGCGCTGGTGGGCCGGACGGAGTCTGGATCGCCGGATGGCTACTGGGTGGCTGAGACGAAGGCTCCGAGGCTCGGGTTACTGGCAGCGATGATGGTAATGAGGCTGCCGGCATAGAATTTGGCTGGGCCGGATCGTCGAAGAATGATGGCTTGAGTGAGTCCGTCGAAAGAGTCGTTTGACTTCCGTTGATGTCGACGACGTAGTCGATCCGATCGACCACCTTGTGAGGGCTCGAGTAGGGCGAAACGACGGAGCGTTCCGGCTTCAGGACTTGAGGCAGGTGGCGGAGGCTCTCGATGGAGGTAGCTGGCGCTGTGCCAGGCTGGCTGGTTGTCCCAAAGAACTCGCCTGGAACGCGAAGGGCGACACTGTAGAGCATCTCCACGGCCGACGCCTGAAGGTCCTCTTTGAAGACAGACCGGAGACCTAGCATGACCATGGGCAGCGAGGTAGGCCAAGGGGTTTCGGGCGAGTACATAAGTGCCGCCTTAAGGTCGCAGTGGAACCGCTCGATGAGCCCGTTGGACTGGGGATGGTACGGGGCAATTCTAATGTGATGTGTGCCTAGGTACTTCGAAAGAGCTGTGAAGAGGGCTGACTCGAACTGCACGCCCTGGTTGGTGGTGATGGTGAAGGGGGTGCCGTAGTGGGATACCCATCCGTCCATGAAAGCCTTGATGGCCACAGTTGTGGCTTGCCGGTCTGGAAGCGAGATGGCAACCGGCCAGCTGGTGTAGCAATCGATGAGGGTCAAGCAGTATTGGAAGCCCAGGCACAAGGGCAGCTTGAAGAGGTCCAGGTGGACATGGTCGAACTGGGAGGTGGGCTTGTTGAGCGAGCCTAGCACTGCTCGGTTATGCGGGTGGACCTTTGCCTTTTGGCAGGAAAGGCATTGCTGGGCCCAGAGCGTGACGTCCTTGTGCATGCTGGGACAGTAGAATTTGTGGGCTATCGCTTTGCTAGTGGCTTGAACGCTGGGGTGCGAGAGATTATGGATTACCTCGAAAGCAGTCCTGCGGAGCGCGACAGGAACGTATGGCCTGACGTATTCCAAAGAGACGTCACTGTAGATGACGTGACCCTTCATCTCGAGCTCTTGGAGAGTGACGTACGGGTTCTGCAGGAGATGTGTGAGCTCTTCATCCGTGACCTGGGTAGCAGCAAGGGCGTGGCGATGGCATCTACCCTAGACAAAGCGTCAGCCACGACGTTGTTCTCACCTTTGTCGTGAACGATGCGAGTATTGTGCTGAAGAATAAAGTTCAGCTGGCGTCTCTGCCTGGGCGAGGCCTTGCCCAAAGACTGAAGAGTAGCGAAGGTAAAAGGGCGATGATCCGTGAAGGTGGTGAAAGACCTCCCTTCCAGGAAACGCTGGAAGTGTTTTATGGCAGCGAAGACCGCTAGAAGCTCTCGATCGTAGGTAGAGTAGCGCTGCTCCGCGGGTGACAACTTACGTGAAAAGAAGTCCAACAGGGCCCATGTCCCACGTGGGTGCTCTTGTTCCAGCGACGCCCCTATGGTTACGTTGGAGGTTTCGGTCCTGAGGGCAAGCGGGCTGTCAGGGCGTAGGAAGGCTGTTGCTGCTGACGCAAGGGCTGTCTTGGACTTGACGAAGGTTTCTTCGGCTTTAGGAGTCCAAACGAGTTTGGTCGTTTTGTCCTTCTTGTTGATGTGCTTGAGCATTTCGTTAAGTGAGTCGAGGATTTTTGAGGCTCTGGAGATGCACCTGCGGTATTACTTGATAATTCCCAGGTATCTTCGAAGCTGAGATAGAAGCTCGGGTTTCGGAAATTCCTGCGCTACCTGGACCTTGGCAGGAGGAGGTGTGAAACCGTTCTCGGACACCGTGTAATCAAGGAATAACACCTGGCTTTGCTCGATGACGCACTTCTCAGGGTTAATGCGAAGATTAGCCTTGCAAAACACAACAAAAAGTTACGCCAGGTATTTTTCATGCGTGTTTTACAGCGAGGACCTGGTGAATTCAAACAGGCCGAAGGGTGTCGTGATGGCCGTCTTCGAGATGTCCTCTTCTACTATGGGGATTTGATAAAAAGTTTTGTGCTGATCAACCACCGAGAAAACCTTGCCCTTAGCTTCCTGGAGCAGGTCCTTAATTATCGGCAGCGCGTAACGATCGGGCGTCGTGGCTGGGTTCAGGTGTCGATAGAACGAAACGTCGGTTATAATAAATTTAATTCACATAAACTCAACCGTTTTTATTTCATACAGCCGAGAAGGTTGAAAAAGTCACTAAGCGCGTGCGTTCGCGTTGCCGTGTCGTACAGGAGAGACCAAAAATGGCTCCTCGCCAGTTAAAGTCGCGGGCGTGCAAGATACTTCACTCACTGCCACTACCTGAGTAGTACCTACTCATCTCTGCTGCCGGGGGGGGGGGGAGGGGGCCGCTCTGCTTGCGCCTGGTACTCATTTAATCGGGTGGGCCGACTTGAAATGCCACACGCATACGTTTTCTTCACCATACATGTGTATTTCGATTTTGATGCTTGTAACGTGCTTTGAAATAAACATTTCTCAAAGAACATAAAACTGTTTAGTTTTTATTCTGAACGCCTTTGAAGCTAATTGAAAGTTAAAATTTCATCAGGTCACTACATATGTATACATCTTTTAGAATATTTAAATTACTGAAGCCATACGTCCGGATACACAATGGTCCACGTGACATTTTGAAGATCTTTGATAATTAAAGTTAAAAAAAAATACATGTATTCCATATTCCTTGTAGTTGTACCCCCTCCGGCGATCCTATTGCGATACCAGACAAAAATCTCATTCTCATCCACCACGTGGCCGCTGTGTTGTTGGGGAGGGGATAAATTTTCAAAAGATCGAAACATTGAAAGCAAAACAAAGCAGCTTGATCGCACATCACTGCCACGTGCCACATGTGCGCACAGGTAAGTACAAAATATAAATAAGATAAGACTTCGTTTCAACTATTTTTTCGAGTGTGTGCTAAAGTCTGGAGAGCCGGCGTCTTCTTCGTAAGTGTAAAAAGGTATGCACGCATCGAATCATTAATTATTCCTTTAGAATATCTCCGAGAATATACCTGAAAAATACTACATCTTAAAAACTATGAAACATCAATTGAGTTAAACTTACGATCGATTTTGCTTCGATAGAAAACATTGTTACTGCATTAAATACAATATAATAAATCAATTCACTTCTTATATACGAAAACGTCTACATGACTGGCGCACAGGTCACATATGAAGTACGGTGTTGTCGATTTACCATTGGTGCCTGGTGAATCACCATAAATTAATCATCCCCCAATCCCCGCAACCCCATAGGTAGCCTAAACGTTTACGTGTATATTTGTCATTGGTACACGTCACTACACGTATGTACATTGCATTTACCTTACCCATAACCCATGACCACGGCCGATGTTCGAACAAGTACTTATGTGCATGGCTAAAGCAGAAAGAGTGGCAGTGGCGCGAGAGTGCTGAGACCAAACGGCGCTTTTTACTTCGTACTTGTTTACGTTCGAAACAGAAAACATAACCTCAACTTGGAATATTTTTTGATGTTTAAATCTGTAAATTCTCTTTTCAAATGATTCGTTGAATACTAATCAAAGTATCAAGGGAAAGGTTAAATTCTCAACTTTGAGAAAATAAGTTATTAATCATACTCTCAAACGTTAAAGATCGAGTATTTACGTTTCCTGTATGATCAATCGCGACTGACTCATTAGCTTACCGGTTAAGGTAAGTACTTTAAATTCTATTTATTTTTATTTTCTTGACCTTAGTTTACCTGTATGACAACAAAAGTTTTGAACATCCAAAAATCAATATAATGTCTTAATGGCTATCGCTTCGTTGAAAACGTATCACGATATTGCACAAGTAAAGCAGTAAGTACAGTAGTTAAAATAGAACGTAGTTTTCGTAAGTAAATTTATCTGACACAATCTTTGCTGGGAACGTCGTCGAAGCGTGGCTGACGCAAAGCAACAGCCCGAGGGTTCTTTTTTTTTTTTGATAATTTATGATTTTAGAACTATACTTGCGCCGGTTTGATTTGGTTATAAATTATTTACTAAGTCGAGCATAAGTTCGTGTAATCCATAAACATTTTTTTACCCTTGTATCCGTCTTTTTTTTCACTATTTACTGCTAAAATAGCATGTTCCAAACTTACTCGTTTTAGTGATAAGATAATAATTACAGATGACAAATTGTTGAATCATTTTTTCTTTTTAGATACTGCTTGAACAATGAGTATGATCCACGACCCACATGTCAATTGTCCTTACGATGAGAGCCACCGCATCCTAAGGTCTCGTTTGGCCTTTCATCTTACTCGATGTTCCAAGAATCATCCAAATGCAAAGAAAAAGCAGTGTCCATATGACGTGCGCCATCTCATTGATCCTGTGGATTTTCAAGTAAGTTTTTTTGCAATTGAATTGCACAAGTGTTTAAAGAATTCCTGAATATTAATGACGTTCCTTTCCGTTTTAACGTACTTACAGCACCATATTGATACCTGTCCTGGTCGAGAATCGGTCTTGCATTATGCTTTGCATGATGCTGATCATCAAGCTAGGACCATGAACATCTTACCAGTGCCTGCTTCTGGCATGCCTGAAGCAGACATTATTCCATCATCTGAAAATTGGGATGAAGTAAGTAAAATTCACTGATACTGTTGACCACTACAACTCTGAAATAATCTATGTTTAAACTCATAATTTGACTCACTGAGAACATCATGAAACAACTCTAATGATAAACATAGGATATTTTTTATTCAAATTTAATTCTTACGTCTCTCAGTATAACAGTATTTTTTTCTTAGAAGTTCAATAAGTCTCAAACTACCGTTAAAGTTTTAGCTTTTGAATTCATGATGTTTCACTTACTATTTTTTAGGATCAAGAGGTTATCAGTTATAATCCGCTTATGAATATTTTACAAAAACCAGTTGTTCGAACTCTAATTGGAGCTTCTAAGTCAGAGAAAAAGAGATTTAGAGAGGAAGAAAGAAAACGTTTGCAACAGCTGGGAAATGAATTAGAAAAAAAAGAGAAGCAGAAGCGTGAAAAAGAAAAGGCTGCTGTGGTAATCATGACGCATTTTTTTAACACTGTTCTCAATTCTCAGATTTTTAGACACAATAATTTTTTTTTTTTTTTTTTTTTAACAGCAAAAATCCACGTTTCTTCAACCCAAAATGGTGCCAATAGATCATTCAGAAAGGGTAAATAAATTAATAAACCAATAATGAAATAGTTAAACAATTACACAAATTGATATCTATTTTTAGGAGACTGTCCTTCGTCGACCCAAAAAACAATCTGAAGTTTTGAATCGATCTATGATGGAGGAACTAGAAGAAATAACGGAATTGCCGAAACAAATAAACGCTGAGGTTATTAATAACATTGTGTAATTTTAATATTAGAAAATATTCTTGTATATATAGCTTATCTTGTATATTTTCATACATTTTGTATAAAATAATTTAACATTAGATTAAATTGATTTAAAGGTACAAGATGATAAAAAACCAATTGAGCCAAAAGCGCCAGGCAAGTCTCAAGCTAGTCAGCCATTAGTTGGTGTTGTGTCGAATGCAAGTCATGGAGCAATACCAAAAAGGATGACAACAAATGATGAAAAAGAGTTGGCTGAAAAGACATCTGCAAATTCGCAGAATAAAGAAATTAAGGCTGAACCTGAACCAAAGAAAGTTCCTTTCAGCTATGCTGCTGCTTTGAGCCGTAATAATGCAAATGAAGAAAAAGTCAATACCACTCTGAATTCTTCATTTATGTCTTGCCATACGGCTGATGTTAGTATGATAGATCAATTAAGTCAGGAAATCGATAGTCTTTTGACAACTGATGGAGAGGATCTTGAGATTAGTCGGCTGGATGAAACGATTAACGAGATGAAAAGTAACGAAACTAAAGAATCTACTAGTTCAATAAAACCAAAGACTGCTGGACAGAGAAGCATTTACTCAAGAAGGGCTAATCGCACTGCAAATTGAAATTCTCACTAACTTTAAAAAAATGTTTTTTTATTATACTAAGAGTGACTTCATACCTCGTTGAATTGTGAGTAAAAAGTAATCATTTTAGTTTATTGTAATTGTTTAGTAATGATAAACACACTTTTTTTTTTAATTCTTCCCAACTTTGGGAAGAAAAATCTTTTTGATCTGACCAAAAGGTATGTTATACTTTGTTTTATTATATACATAAAGTATTTAGAATATTTCGTCATCTACTTGAAAATTTTGAATATCCATTTTATCTACGTTGTAACACTTTTAAAATATTTATAAATAAGGTAATTCAACTATTACCTAAGGTATTTTCAGTAAATGTGATGTAACGGTGATCTACTCATATCTCATTAAAGTAATGTTGAGCTTTCCTTTAAATATCATATTTGTGACATGAAATCGTCCATCCTCTATGGTATAGTATTAATGACAATCAACATTTGTTAAACTTTTTCTTTAAGTGCATACAATTTTCTCATTAAATTATAAAGAGATAAAAATTGAGAAACTAAACAGATTAATCTAAGCATAACAAAATGTATATTTTGTATACTAAAAATAATATAAACAACAGTGAAAAAGATTATTAAACTTGTATTATTATTATCGGCATAAATAGTCTTAAGTGTGTTTTACTCCTGATACATTGGTCGCTGCGTTTTCGGTCGCCTTCACCTTGTGCTTTGTCCTCATGTGATTCGTCAAATACCTCTTTTGCCCATACCTAAGGCCACACTTTGAACAGGTGAATGGACGCTCCGACGAGTGTGTAAGCTTGTGCCTCGTTAGCTCGTTCTTCACGCCAAAAGCTTTGCCACAAACGTCGCAAACGTGATTTTTCTCCTTGGTGTGGGTAGTCAGGTGACTAACCATCTGTTGCCTCCAACGGAAGGGCTTCTTGCAGTAGCTGCATGAGAATGCGTACTCTTGAGAATGTATCTTACTGTGTGTATACAGTGATGCTTTTGTCGTGAAGGTTTTCTTGCAAGAATCGCAGACGAATGGCCGTTCACCAGTGTGAATCCGACGATGATCCCGCATCGCGGTCTTCATGGCGAAGCAGCGACCACATATGTCGCAGGCATGATTTTTGATGCCCTGATGCACATGCTTCACGTGATAATAAAGAGAGCCAGGCTGGCAGAATCCTCTACCGCAGAGATGACAGATGTAAGGCGTCTCGCCCGTGTGTAGGCGCATGTGAATCTTGTAGCTATTTGCACAGCGAAACATTTTGTTGCATTTCGTGCACACGATATTACTGGGAACCGTCGCGTTTGACGCTCCGCGAGTCTTTCGCTTGCGTGTCTTTTTAACAAGAGGCTTGGACTCTTCTGGAGTGTAGTCCTCGAAGTTATCATCATCATCATCATCACTCGCCACGATGTTGTCCTCATCTATTTCAAGACATTTGTCCTCAATGATTTTGACAGATGGATTTTTCAAGGTTTTCGAGTTTTTAGAATTTTCTCGACCAGTTTCCGGTTCCTGCTCGGCAGCTTCTTTTTTCAGATCTTCTTGACATGTCTTCGTAGCCGGAGATTTGACAGCTGACTTATCCTTAGCTAGTTCGTAATCTTTCGTGTCAGCTTGCACTGTAAGGACCTTGTAAGGTTTTTGACAGTTCCATGAATGCTCTGATCTGAAACCACAATTTACAATATTATATGATGAATATTTGTAAATACAACAGTTCTTAGAAATATGTTATTCAAGGAAAATTAAGCTCTGAAACAAACTGTTTTACGGGTGAAATTATTTATTTGCGTTTATACATTAGGCCGCACACAAGTCTTTATTATCCTTAATTTTTCGCTGCAGAGTACATTTTACTCCATACGCAAACGTATACATGCTTTTTTGGTTTTTCAGGCAGTAAATAGTGACAAATCAAATAATATTATTAACGAAAAATTAAATCGTGAACTGTCATTGTACTGGAATAATTTAACCATCGGCAATCTTCGCTACTGATGATTTAGAGCCTTCGTCAATGGCTTTGAGCATTTGTTCAGCCTGATTTTTGTGGTATTGCCTGATGTGAGTTCTCAAATATCTGGACAACTTGAAGCTCATACCGCAGTCGGGACACAGATACGGTCTCTCGTCGAAGTGAATCCTATGGTGGCGCTTGGCCTCACCCTTGGCCGAGAACAGCTTGCCACAAACGTCGCAATCGAAAGGCTTGATACCCGTGTGTATGGACTCGTGCGTTTCTAGCTTCTGCCTGCAGCGAAAGGCCTTGTCGCAATACCTGCAGGGATAAGGCCGGTAATCCGTGTGGGTGCGCTTGTGGGCTCCGAGCAAGTTGATCGAGCGAAAGAACTTGTGGCACATGTCGCACTCGAACGGCTTTTCACCGGTATGTATGCGCCGATGCGCGTCGCGGGTAGCCTTGGCGGCGAACCTGACTTGGCAAATGTCGCACTCGTGGCGCTTTATCTTGAGATGAACGTCGTCGATGTGGCGCTTGACATCGGCGACGGTGCGAAAGCTCTTGGCGCAAACGTGGCACATGGCCGGGCGCTCGTTCGAGTGTACGCGAATGTGGCGCAGGAAACTGGTTCTGTTGGCCATCACTCGCTCGCAGGTCGGGCACTTGAAGAGCATCTCCTGGTCAATGTAAAACTTGGCTCGCTTCGTGATGCCCTCCTCGCCCGGCAATTCTACCTCGTGATTGCGTATGTGGGACACGAGGTTGATTCGATTGGTGAAGGATTTGCCGCAGGCGTTGCACTCGTAACGGACGGGATTCGTCGAGCAGCGCGAGTTGGCTTCGTGTTCCTTCTTCAGGTGACGAATCAGTGAGAATTCTTCGGGAAACACTTGATCACAGACGCCGCACATGTACGTGAATTGCGGCTCCCTCGTGCTTCTGCAACTCAAGATATGAGGAAAACCCATGGGTATATAGAGTTCTTGTTTTGATTATGGACAACCTGTGGACTGTTGTCGCGCGCGTTTACAGAGTTACGAGTTTCGTTTCGCTACAAATCATCGAATTTTCGCTTACAACGAAGCGTACGCAGTTTTTTTTTTACGCATATTATACAGTTGCATCTTTAGTCTTTTCAGAATTTCTTGTTTGTACTATCTTTCGTGTATTTCGAATCAAATACATAAATTTATTGTTAAGGGTAGAAAAAAAATTGATTCAACAACTGCCGTTAGGCACATGCTTAATGATAGAAAAGAAAAAAAAAAAAAAAAAAAAATTATCAAAAATCACCATGGAGGGTGAGATTGAATCGATTTGGTAAATCGGGAGCAAGATCGAGTAATCGGCTCATTTGTCCTTGTGCCTCTTGCTCTTGTGGGCATTGAGGAGCCTCTCGGCATTGAAGCATTCCCCGCAGATATCGCAAATGCATTTGTTGTGACTCTGCCTGTGCCTTATCGAGCTCGCGGAGCTCCTGAAGCGCTTGCCGCACACGTTGCACCCGTAGGGCGCGATATTCGTGTGGGTCAGTTCATGTCTCTGCATGTCCTGCCTGCGCTTGAATTCCTTGTCGCAGAGCTTGCAGCCGAACACTATGGAGCCGCTGTGGAATCTCTTGTGCACGGAGAGCGAGGCCCGCTGTCGAAACCGCTTGCCGCAAACGTCGCAGACGTGGGGTCGCTCGTCCGTGTGCGTGCGATGGTGTTCGTCCCGCGATACCTTCGTAGCCAGTCTGCGCTCGCAATAATCGCACTTGAAGTCCTTGATCTTCTTGTGGACTTCCCGCACGTGTCGCGTCAAGGACGAGCTGGTGCTGAACCACTTGTTGCACAGGCTGCACTTGCTCGATCTGTATTGCGTGTGAACTCGTCGATGAGCCGTGTAATTGTATGCTGTGCTGAGGCGCTTCGGGCACTCGGGACATTGGTACATCGTCACTCCGTTGACGATGCACTTGGCAAGGGCTACTTCGGCCTTTCGGTCGGCCACTGACTGCGGGCTTGGTTTTGCCGATACCTTCTTCTCCGTGGTATGATTGTTGCTGCAAATTGCCGAGAGATCGCCTATGTCTGTTATGATGATGACATTGTTTTCTCCCGTGGCCACATACCTGGAATTAAACGACGTTACGGTTCGCCATTCCATACTTGGGATATAGTTGGACGGTTTTTTTTTTCTTTTCTTTTTTTTTTTTTTCAATTCAAGCTACTACACAAGTTTCTATACAAACGCGTGAGATGCATTGATCTCACACTTTTTAAATTTTACAATAGTTTTTGTTTTATTAAAGATAATACTTTCCGGCTAATCGTAGAGGGGATCGTTTTTGCGATTTTTAAATGACAAAAAATGTTTAAGATAATGATGAACATGTGCTTCCTCAGCTCCGCTTCCAGCTTTAATTTCTTTTACTTATTTTACTCACTACTGATGTGCCATAGTATACATGACTGAGTGATTTGCGTCTCCTTTAAAAGGAAAAGTCATCTATACGAGTCTTAGCGTTACAAGACTTTGAATCTCAATCTCTTGCCATAGGAGTCATAAAAACATATGTATGTTGTCGGTGATCAAGGATGATCAATTTGCACGCAACGCCAAAAGTTGCATTCATCGTATTCGTTACAGCCATTTATCCTGTTACACTCGTAGCATGCATTAGAATTCTTAATTTTAGGTCTTTTTGTTCTCTTGATCGTTCTTTTGAACGAAGATTTGTGTGCGAATCATTATCTGGTGTTTTTTTTTATCTAGTCATCATTTCGTTATGAGTACTACGTTCGATAGTAGACGCTTTTTTGAGGTCTGTATTAAATATTTTTTCAAAAACCGCAAACCTGGAAAGTGGTCGATAATCGACTTGACGCGATCAGACGCGATATAGTGTTTCTAAACGCATATTTATGTACCTGTATATGGTACCTTTTTTCAGTTCGAATATTTTTCTCGTATTTCATTGAATATTTGCTTATAAGCCAAACTTATAATTTATGGTCAATGTATGACAAGCGCAACAAGGTCATGATTATGGCTAGAACTATCTCTTTTTTAAAATAATTAATTGATCAATGATAGGTTTTCCCTGAGCAATAGGAAAAAGTACTATATTTACAGTATGAATAATATTAAACAACTGTTGTTAGATTATGCTTAACAAATAAGTGGACAGTAATGTTTGACCTAGAAGTATAAAGCGCAATACCAGAAGCATGCATACAACAAATAAAATTGAATGTCGTTATTGAGTCCAATTTTTACAATTGTAACTTATACAAATTACTTCGTATTTTTTAAAAATTCAAGACATTCAATTTTTGTAATTAATTTTACGTAAAATATGATATTTACCTGTCATCTTCTGGAACATCAGGGACTTCTACATTTTTTTCATGTTGAGGTGGAATCTGAAAAATGCAGTTGTTTAGAGAATTGATCTTAATTCATTTAAACAGGTACTACTCAACAAATAAAAATTACCTGCTGTTCATTATCGTCTGTGTCAATTTTCAATACAGTACCACAGTGTTCTTCTTCTCTGGCATTTTCAAAACTTTGTTCACTGCAAAACTAGACAGCAGATATAAAAAAAATTCACAAAATATGCAGTTAACATTGTATTGCAAAAATTTTTGTCATCCATCAACAATACCTGTTCTTTAGCATTCAATTTATTCTGTAATTCGGTAAGTCTTTCCTGGGCATCAAGGCAATTCTTAAACAAATCATGCCACGAAATCAGAGTTGCAGCACAATTGTAACATATTTGAAGTGGCAGTGAATCTTCCTGGGATATCTAAAATGCATTTTAGTTCATTAGGCTATGAGTCGCTATTAAAAAATATTTAAACCTACCTTAAAAGGTAAGTAACTTTGAATTTTGCTGTGCAAATCGTGTTCTAGTCCTTCACCATTAAAAATCGGCATAAAGTGTTCACTAGAATTTGCACATATTCTGCAAAGTTCATCCCAGATGATGACATTTTTCTCATCCAGAACAATTTCTTCTGTACTCTCCTCCTCCATGGCTAAATAAGGCTCGCCATCTTCCATAGTTATGAACTGTGCATCCTCATTCCCCTCAGCTACGTTTTTGTCTTGGATATCCAAATAATACTCCATGGTCTTAATTTTTTCACTTTTGTCTGTCACTACTTAATTCTTAACAATGATACTATCAAAGTTGGCATCCTTTAAACGAATTCTAATGCCATTGGATGTCTTCTCCATGTTACCTATGAAGAAAAATAATGTATTTAGGTTTACAATGGTACATATTTTACAAAAGACCTGTTATCTGTGACTAACATTTATTATTGTTGTTCCCGACTAATGAACAATTTTAGTTGAACTATGTTTGTGTGATACTTATTCATTACACCATCGAAATAAGTACCTTAACATATCATAGTATTAGTTAAACACAAGAGCAAGCCAAGAAAATGTGCAACTAAATGTTTATGAAACAAAGAGCTATTGTGCTCTTTGCGCTAATAAGTAGGTATGATCTTATCAACACTGTAACTATGTAATCGTTGTAAAAAACACAAATCAAGGTTAAACTTACTGACTCCTGCATAAGAAAGAAGTCATCTTTAGTCGCAGACAAGAGGATGTTATTGTTGTTACGTATACTGCATGCACCACACAAGTGTGTTGACTTTTGCGAAATGTAAAATAGACACAGTTCACACACTATTTCAAATCGAAAATACACATCAAATAAAAAAACTATTGAATACCCAACTGTTCGATTTGTTAATTTGTTTGGTCCAAACACACATAAAACAATTTACGTAAACTCAACCGAATTACATTGCATTTAATAGGAGAAAGTTGAGAAATGAGATTTTATAAGTATAAGTATGTATATTGTATATTAGATAATTGTGTATAGGAACCCTAATTGCCGCTACAATTAAGTACACTCATTATACGTTAGAGGGTTAGAGCAGCGCCACAAGTTGCGGATGGGTACATTTTGAGCTAGGAAAAGCATGCTTGGTCCTGCAGGTCTCAAGTCTCAAGGTCCATAGTCGATACACTAGTAAACAACATGGTGAACGGGAGGCAATGCAGAGGCAATACAAGGATGACAAACGGAGTAGGAAAATTTCCAAAGCAATGAAAGGGTTGTACACGTACTCCTTTCTCACCCTCATCCTTAAATGTCTATTATTTGACGAGTACAGAAGCTCAAAATAAGAGTAGTTTATATATAGAGTACGAACGAGTTTGCCCTCAGTGCAATAGGAGTATAGGAGATGAGTGATGAGTGACTCGCCGAATCGGTAATCGGTAGGTACACACACCAACTGTTGCCCATTAAAAGGTTCAACAAAATACGAAGGCCGGCAAAGGGAACATTCCACACGCTATTCTAATTTTAAAAAAGAAGTCAACGTAGTCTTATAAAGATAAAGTTTTGCGTGAATTCTCAAGCGACTCATCGTCAATTCAACCGGACAATCGCTTTATATTGTTATCCGTGTGAAATTTTAATACGAAATTGTTTTAAATTGAAACATTAAATAAACAAAATACTTTTTATCAACATAGAGCAAACCTTGTTAATGAATTCTTTTTTTCATTTAATTTCCTGTAGGATATTCATTATTATGTTCTCAGAATTTTGAGCGTTACCAGAGCCACCGGCTGTTGGTTTTGAGTTTACGTTTATTTAAGTTGACGACTCTATATTAGCTATTTCCATGTAAAATTAGAGGTACAACACACACATATATATATATATGTATATTAATAATTAACTATACATATGTATATAGTTAATTGTTATAAAATTATCGAAAAATATTGGTTGTTGATAAAGTAGAAACTGTCGGGTATGTATGCACTGAGAATGTGAGAATTTTGTTATTTTTGTTAGTTTTTGTTACTAATATAATATTAATTAATTAGAAGCAAACTGTTTGAGCTCACTTCTGTTAGTTCTGTTTGAGTCGAGTCTCACTGATGGAATGCAGGATGACGTTGCGATTTTTAGTTGCATACCGTCTGTAGTTAAGGAAGGCTTGAGCTTGAGAGTATAGAGAAGAGAAATTTTCGAGAGTCGAGAGCTTGTCGAGAGCGACAGCGAGTTTCATTCGACAGAGACAGCACATGCAGCAGGGGCTGCTACGCTGCGCTAGTGGCTTGCTACTTGCTAGTAAGGTAGTTAAGTAAGCAAACTGATAGTTTGCTGTAGTGCTCCGAGTGCGTGAGTGTGAGTAAATCAATGTCGTCGTGATTCGTGATTCGTGACCGTGCCTACATAGTATAAATACCGTGGCACTTTGGTTATCGACGTCGTCCTCGTAAATTTGTTGTTCAGTTTGTGCCTCGTTTCTTCACGTAGCTTCTTTTGTCGTTACTTTTTACCTATGGAAGTATACTTAACGTATACGTGAACGCCAGTGCCGTGCAATAGCCTGGATCCAAGGTCCACTTTTTTACTTTCGTTGTTTTGGACATGCATACATATTTTATATGCATGCCTTACTCACGGCGGCCACGCCACGCATACCGTGAGCACTGAGGTCATAAACGAAATAGGTAATTTTAAATTAGTAATATAAGCATTAGGCGCACGAAATTCAAGCAAAAGCAGTAGTTTGTAATCTTTCACGCGGCAGTACAACAGTACATCGACTGCAGGTATATTAGTAAAATATACCAACGAAAAAAAAAAACCGTCGGCTTTCGCAGTGCCACCAAGAAATCTGAAGCCGAGGATACACGATTGAAAATCGGAGCGGCACTTCCTAAACCCTGCAGGTGGTGTACGTGTAAACCCGGAGCAAATACGAATAAGTGCGGACTATAGCTGGCGTGATGACACATCCCTGCTGCAGGAATAGTTGATGTCGGGTAGGATCTCATCGTCGTCATCGTCGGCTTGAGGACGAAGGTTTTCGGTGCGAGCGAGCGGCCGCGCGCCTCGGCAGCAACGCGTATATATATGCGACGGAGGGCGGAACGACGACGAGAAGCATCAGAGGAAGAGGAGGAAGAAAACGAAGGAGAAGAGACGGAGGAGGATCATAATAGTACTGGTAGTATCGTATAGCCAGCCCGCGGCTGTGCGAGCCGAGAGGTGAAGGAGAGATTTTTAAATATAAAACACGCGGTGTTGGTGCAGCAGCAGCAAGGAGAGAAAAAAAAAGTGCTCATAGTGTGCATGTGCGCGCGTGTGTTAAGTGTGTGTACGTGTTATATATGTACAAAAAAACACGAGCAGTCAGTTTTGGAACAAGCTGTCTGCTACGGCTGTCGTGTATACTGTACATATATATAGAATAGATTGAGTAGTGTGCTATAGGTTAAAGTAAATAAATAAATAGTATATACATAAAACGCGTTTCAAAGTGTGCAATAATGTTCCGCTGCATACCGATATTCAAAGGCTGCAACAGGCAGGTGGAGTACGTGGACAAGCGTCACTGCTCGCTGCCTAACGTGCCGGACGACATCCTCAGGTACTCGCGTAGCCTCGAGGAACTCCTACTCGACGCCAATCACATCCGTGACCTGCCCAAGGTAATGCATATCTATATATCTTTATCTCCTCCTCCTTTTCTTTCCATCCGCACTCTTGCCTCCTCGCGGAGTGATGGCACGCATTGTACCTTCGAGTTCTCCTCCTTGCACTATTATACTTACTTACCTTTTACCTTTTACTGTACGTTTATAAGTAGCACTGACTTTACATTTTACGTATATACTTGTACGACGACTACTGTCATGGGCTTCGTACACATACCTTCAAATAAGTTGTTTGCTATTTTTTTATTATGCATTTGATGCTCTCCCATAAAATTTCGATGAAATATTTTTTATTTTTCAATCTTGAATCCAATGAACATTAAATGTTTGAGGAGTGTTGACCAATTTTTTTTACTACGGACGAGCTTGTTACTCAATAGTAATGATAATAAAAGTAATAACAATACTAAAGCTTAACACTTGAAATTGGTGTGTTTTGCACTTAGATTGATTATTAAAATAAATAATATTTATTTAGAGCAATTAAAGATAGTTCTGCTGCCTTTCAACATTATTTATATTTAATGAATTAGTTTCTGAGAGACTATATTGATGTATTTAATTCAATGACGATGAATGATGTTTTATATAAATAACCTTATACATGATAAGATAAGGACGAATCAATGATACAACAGTTACACTGTATGTAGTTCTAAAGTATCATTGTATTTCTACTTATCGATTGCTTTTCTATCGCAAGAACTATTGGGTGTACTTTTATTAGAACTTACTTATTACTCCTTTACGTTATTTTTACACTAATAATAAACTAACATATACATTATAGGCATTGAACAGTAATTATTACAGAATACTTGCGAATTTGTTCAAATAATAAAGTCAATACGCTCTATAATAAAACTAAATCAAAGTTATTGGTATTAATTGTATTTTTCAATAATTTAATGCACCCAAAGTGTACCAAACCGATCTATAAATCATTAAAAATTGTGTGCATTTATCTAATAAATAATAACATATTTTATCATCAATTCCCGAAATTTAATTTAAAAAATTGATTGTACTTTTCCCCAAGACACTTGAGGACTGTAGCTTTTGTCGTCACGGTGTGCAAGAGCCATCATCACTGCAGAGGTGCAATTATACGGTCGGCAAAAAAGACTCATTTATGTACCTTATATATATGCATGCAAGGTCTAGAGAGAAAACGAAAACAAAAGGCAATACATGTCTATAAAAATGTGAGGAAAAAAAGAAAAATAAGTCACGTCTATTCAATATTTTGGTTCTCTTTTTCGCGTCTCGTCGATTCCCACCGACGACGATGATATCCCTGTCGCATTTTTCTCTCTCTCTCCCTTGCACTTCTTTTTCTTCTTACACTGAGGTAAAGCATGGCACGGCTGTTTGGAATATATANATTACGATTAGACTCTAGCATAAAGTATATATATATATATATAGAGAGAGAGAGACAGAGAGAGAGAGAGAGAGAGACGAACGAAGAGGACGTAGTGGTGGAGGAAGAGAGGACAAAATAAACAACGCCGCACGAGGAGGAGGAGAAGGAGGAGAGTATATCACAAGGACGAGAGAAAGGGAAAGAGTCACGACGACGACGCGCTCGACTTGTTTGTCTCGCATATATATTTTTTATAATAATAAGAAGAGGAGGAGTACGAATGGGAGAGGAGAAAGAAGAAGAAGAAAAAAAGACGCCTGTCAAACTCGCTTGCACTCCGGCTTCCCCCGTAAAATGTCTCTCATGGGCTTTCTTTTCTCACTTTCTGCTGCTACATTTTACATACGGTGTACCATTTTTTTTTTTTTTTTTTTTTTCTCATCTTCTTCCTTTTACTTCCTCTCTCCCTCCCTCGCACTCTCTTTTTTTCTTTCGCTTTGCTAAAAATGATAGGACCAGCAGCTTCGGGGTTCATTAGCCCCCTAGGAGTCTTTGTCTTTTCTCAAGAGGCCCTCCTTTTTTTCTCCCTCTGTTCAACCAAGTTGCAACGCGGCTACTCTAATATTATGACCTCTATACTGCCCATTCTTTTGGTTTGTTTTTTTTTTTTTTTTTTTTTTTATTCCCTCTCTCTTGACACCTATACACATGCACTTTGTCCTTTTTTCGCTGAATTTTACGATGATTACGAAAATATTATACAGTAGAATATACAGATTGAAATTTCATCCTCAAACACGCAAAAAACACCAAAATATAGGTAACTCGTTATGGAATCGTATACATCACACTTGCAGTATAAAAGGGTTACTAAAGTGTAATTTCCCTGAAATTTCTTGTTAGCTGCTGCGATGTTCAAACTCTCAAAGGGTGTCGCCTTCTTCATCGCATGTGTATACGCGTGTATAGCTGCAGATAGCAGGTACTCAAAGTTGCAGCCATTCGCTCTCAAGGACTTTCGCACGGAGTGGCACCCCATACGCCCCTGTATAGCCTCTCACTGTACATACACTTACAATCCACTCCTTCTTGCGAATGTAATACATATTCTCAAACCGCACGGCGTCCCTTTCGACGTATACACATTCATACTGAGGATTTACGCGCTTTTCCATACCTTTCGAGCTGCAGGTCGTACAAGACCATAAAATTATTAGAATTTCAGAGAGCTTGCTGTACAGCATTTCCATTTACCCCCGACGTGCGCTGGCTCTCGGGGGAGTTTCCCATACCACATTTTTTGCGGTGATTTGAGTTTCATTCGAGATGGTCGGACTCCGCATCACCAAAAGGATATACATTATCTTCATGGGTACCCCCTTTTTGTTATTAAAATATGCTTTAAAAAAAGTAATGGCGAGAAGTCGCTTTGAGCTCATTTTTTTTATTTAGAGTGGCTAAACTCCACCCCTCCAAGGAAAAAAAGCTTTCCCCTTCATCTCAACAGACGTACTTACTTTACACAGCAGTTGTATAAAAAAAATAAATAATAAATAAACCTGCTCGACGCCTCTTTCCTCCATCACATATACTGTACACAAAAAAGCTCGAGCTTTGAATCACGTGTCCCCTAATCTTCGGTTTTTTGTTCCAGAACTTTTTTCGCCTCCAAAGGCTGCGAAAACTCGGATTGAGCGACAATGAAATCCACCGACTGCCGCCCGACATCCAAAACTTTGAGAACCTCGTCGAGCTCGACGTATCTCGCAACGGTAAGTTCACCCACGTGTAATAAATATATGTTCTAAAACTCGGCGGAGAAGAAAAACAAGTAGCGCGATTGCTCGGGCAAAAAGGAGGAAAAACACAGCGAAAAAGCACACACCGTATATAATATTTTCCCGCGCTCTTCCTGGCGCTGGATAAACTTCGGACGCACCATTGCTCGACCATTGCTTATCGCTATGTACTTGCTGCCTACCGTATTTTAGTTACAGACAAAGATGATGTTTTACACGCCAGGATAGCCCCGATATGCGCTATAAATATATGTATCATGTAACCGCAATACTGTATATTATATACAATGCTACAGGTTTATTTTAATTACTTACACTCGTGTACTTTTACCATTGCAAGGTATTATATGTATATGTACAACACACACGAGGTAGTCAAAGGAGCAAATTCGCGCCTTTTTTTTCCCAGCCTCCGGGCGCTCGATAAGCCGAGTCGAGATGGATAATGTTTCTTTTTTTTTTTTTTTCCTTATTTCCGGTTCTTTGGATTTCGATTTCCGCTCCTGCTCTGATTACACGCTGCTGGTGATGCGCGTGTACGTTCAAGGGTGCTTTTGCAGGTGGAGGATAATATATATATGTATTGTTGATTAATAATCTTTCCAAGTTGTAATTATTGGCCTTAGAGAACTACGTTACACGAGACAATGGTTGAAAGGAAATAAGCTAAAATATTATAATAAAGTGAATGAAAAAAACAAAAAAACAAAAAAAATTAATCTCGAGAGTCTCTTATCCGCACATACATTTAAAAATGTTTCAAACGCAGAGTGAAAAACGTCGTTTTCAGTGGTGACATTTTTCAAGCGGCAAAGTCGCTTGGCACCCGCTGCGGCTGCAATCTCTCAGATTTTCCACCCGTGAATACGTGAGAACGAATTGACGCTCGCCTCCTTTGTACAGGGATGAAATTTATGACACTGTTCCGCCTCCTCTTTCCTGCGATTGAATCGAAAATCTCGGCTTTGAACCGCATATTTTGCACATTATACGGCTGTGCTGTTCACGAAAACATTATGTTTTTGTTTGATATAATTTGTTTTTTTAATTTAATTTTTTTTTTTTTTTTTTTTTTTTCCGAGGTTAAAAAAATGGTAAACGATTGCAAGTTTTTATTAAAATACTTTGATTACTTACGACATACAAAAGTAACATTATGTGAAAATTCATCATATCGTTTTTATCCAAATGTACAATGCGTAAAGTATTGAATAACTTGCTTTATATATTGATAAATATAGTATCCAGCAATTTACGACACTTTTGTATAATAATAACCATTGACCCTTAGTTCGTATCATCTCGTTGACCACTCAAACCTTTACTGGTACGAAAATTTCGCCAGAACCTCAATTAAAAAAAAAAAAAAAAAAAAAATTATCACGACAACCGATAACAGTCTTGAAAAATGTGATATTTCCTCGCCGCGGATTACGTTAACCAGCGCATGACAAATAAGCATACTGCACCAAAGTCATATATTTCTTGATGAGAGAGTTCGCATTAACTTTTTTTTGTTCAACCTCCTCCGGGCTGTACGAAATATATCCGCGCCAAGAGTCAGAAAACCAAGTGCGTGTGTGTGTATATATATGTATACACCATACGTGCTCCCCGTGGTATATATTAGGATTTGTCGAGTTTTGCACTCCGACTGCACGAAATTTTTCTTCGAGACGTCAGAAAGTTGAATTATCTCCCCCTTTGTTTTTTTTTTTTTTTTCCACTCCCTCATTTCTTTGGAATAAGGAGCAGAAGTACTAACATATATAAGTATATAGCAGCTACACGAACAACGCGCCCGTAAAAGAGTATAATAGTTGAATGGGAGGAACACACAGAGGAGCGCACAAACACAGAGAGGAAGAGAGAAATGAGAGAGCAGACGTCCGGAAAAGCAAGTCTGGCGCTCGCTCGGCTGGCATTGGCATGGCAGACTATGTACTGCAGGCTATGTGCATATAGGTATATACGGAGATCCGGAGTCTCGGATAAAAGTAATAATGAAAAAGATTCCACTGCAGCCGAGTTTTACCGTTAGGTGTAGGTATACAGGCATGCACACACACACACTGGCTTGGTCTATGATGTTTAAGGCTCTCTCTCTCTCTCTCTCTCTCTCTCTCTCTTATACATATATGTATTGTATATCCTGGCAGTCGATGGCGAGCTTTTTATACTTATACAACCACACAGCGTCTTGTATAGCCGTATAGACCCGAGGTTCACGATAGCGTGCGTGCAGGCAAAGCCAGACAGTAGCCTATGCTCTCGGAGTAATTCGAGTGTATATTCCTATACAAGCTATACATTACCCGCACCGACCATCCTCATCGACGCTTTCCGTGCGCGAAGCACTCTGCCGCTGACGTTTCGCCTTTTTTGTTTCGATCTCCTTTTTTCTCGTTCATGAGTGAAAGAGCTGTTAGGTATATATATATACGTACAACAGAGAGAGGGAGGGAGCCCGCGTGTACTGTAGTAAATTAAAAATCCTCTTTTGCGATACTCGCGCACGCCATTTTCAGAGAGAGCGTGGATGTAAGCTATGGGCGGTGTATTAATACCATATAATATATAAGCGAGATGATGGGAAAATAAGCGGATGTGGGATTTGACCGCGTGCAGATATGTCTCATCTCTTTTATTTCACGAGTTTCATGTTTGAGGTTTCGTGGGGTGCACACTTTTTTTCTTTTTTCCCTTTTTTTTTTTTTTTTTTTTTTCCAGCCGAGGACACGTTATTTTTGTCCCTCCCCAAGTATACCGAATCAAGTTAATTAATCGACAAAACTATTTAGCCTAATGGGTGTATATAAACAAGGGAGATACTCTAATTTAATTGGAGGGAAACAATTCTTCCTCGTGAATAAAAATCATTCCCTAATTGCCAATATTATTATCTAGATTAAAACAAACTGTACATATGTTACACAAATCGGAGAAGACCATGGAAAGCCTGCGTTGTGTGTGTATTGTAAGTATACGTGTACAATTTAAGGCGGGAGGGGTGTGCGCAGTATTTAACGAGGCACGTAATTAAAATGATGTATATATACAATGAAGGAGAAAAAAAAGAAAAAAAAAAAAAAAAAACAGCAAGAGGAAACGATACGTATAGGTGGATGCGGAAAACCTCACGTGCCGTATTGCGGGCTGTAAGTTGTAGATACGGCAAATGAGAGCTTTTAACTTAAACTCCCTTGTAATAAGCATGTGTTGTGGATGTGTGTGTGGATAAGTTCGACAAACAATTGTACATACGTGCAGGAGAGAGCCCGAAAAAATAAAGAAAATCATTGTACTCGTTGGTGTGAGAATATTACATAAGTTTCAACTGTGGCGTTTTTCCTACACCCTCGTCATTCTTCTCTCTTTTCGTGCGAAAGCACAACTCCCTTCGTTGTTATTGCAATATAAATTACCTCTTTCGCTTCCCGCCTCCTCGGCGCTCATGTATATAATACTTATACTCGTGTACTCCCAACACGTCTCTCTTTTTCCGTCCGCATTCCTTCTTATTGTTCTACGCGTCGCACGGCGTGCGTCTTCTCTTTTTGTTTGGATTTTTTTTTATCAGCGCCCCTCTGTGTATTATTCTGTCACTCGTATACGGGTTTATCGATGGTAAACAAATGCTCGAGGGGTTTGATGGGTCGGTAAAAAAACAAAAGTGTAACTTTAGGGTTTTGCGCGTATTGGTGTACCACAAAGTACCATATATGACGCGACTCTGCTTGAGTCTATGAAACGTGTGGAAAATCGTGGCGAATTGGAAGGTCACCGCAACAGTAACAAATGGGAGGATAGCGCTCGGCTTGTTTTTCTTGCTAATGAGGGTACTTCCGAAAATTACGTAGCACTTTCAGCGTCATGTCAATGTTAGGATGTAACGAGGCTAACACCGTGTGTTTCTCTCACTCGTTTTTTACGGAAATAATCTTCAAACGTGAACCCCCCGGCTTTTTTCCTTCAATTCGAAAAAACATGCACCTACATGTACTCCCTCTTCCTCTCACGAGGTGATGACGTGTGTTATCCTCTTAAAAAAAAAAAAAAAAAAAAAAAAAAAAAATCGATAGTATTAGTAGTATAAACTGTATCCACCTCTTATAAATCTAATAAACGGTAGCTCATGTACATGGCGGTCGCGTCGTAAAAATTATGTGGATGAAATGCCTCGGTGCAGCTCATCCGTCTGGATGATGGTTGCGTCAATCTCGTGTAATGTATGTTCCTGCTTCAAATCCTTCCTTTATTTCCATCTATTTTCCCCAGCAAAAAGTACTATAGGAAAAGAGAAAAGAAAAAAAAAGGGTAACCGTCCTCTTCGCTTCGTTGGGAATATAATAGACGCAAGCCCAGTAGCCAGCCTCTCCTCGAAATGGAATCCCCTTTTCTTCGGCCTCATTATTCCTCCCCTCCCCCTCCGCCTCTGGTTTTTTTTTCTGCCCTACACTGTACCATTATAATAGGAGTACCTACGCCGTGCTCTCTCCCGCGAAATTATTTTCCGCGCGCGCCTCTCTCTCGGGAGAGCTTTCGGAGCGCCACTTGCAACTTCTTCCTCTTCCCTTCCCCTCAACTACCGCTCGATTTTCATCCTCCGCCTCTTGGGTTTTCGCGTCCGCTTTTCGAGGTGATGATGAAGTAGGACAAAAAAAATTTCATACGGAACAAGTTAGTCACTACTGAAAACCAGTTCAAAGGGCTGTAGAATACAGGCGCCTCGGTGCACCTATACGTACGAGACGGATAAAACGCTCGTCGCGGCCAATGCCCGATTCGTCCCATCTATATGTTCAAATCTTCGAAAAATCGTTGTATCGATGGAAAGAAGAAAGATAATTTTTCAAAAAAATACACCCTCCAGGCTCGAAAATCAGTAGCCAATGTATTCAGCTTCGTCTAAAAATAAATTATTTACTTTGTGACACGCCCTTTTTTTTCCATTCAAAATTGATCAATAGCAT